TACTGATTATTGTCTGTTGATTGCTTAGCTTAGTGACGCACTGTATTTTAATTGTATATATTACTAGTTAATTTGCAGAGAAATTGCCTCCATCTGAATTTCATATTTGTTAGTATGTATCCAACGGTAAGCTAAGTGAATGTCATATCCCTTTGAAGATTCAAGCTATTCAATAATCGGCAAATATACAGAAGTTGTCCAGTGTTCGTCGATCAGTCAAGTTATCATATGTTTAGTGTTCTAAATTTAAGTGATAATAATAATAATGATAATATGTAAGCCGTGAAAGTACTAGCCATCCTACTTATATAATCCGTTCAGTTGGAATTTTATAGCAAAACGGATATCACAGATCTGCCAACACTTATCATTGAGGTGTAAATTGTCAGTGAAAAAGGATCTCAGTGGTATAAGTCAAACCTTCCTCGGCGTAAACATCATATTCCATGGAAATCATTACTTATTCTCATTTCTTGCCTTCTGACTGGAACATAGAAGTGTTGTCTTCACGAGATGACGTTGCTAGCCTTACAACCAACTTTTCTGGGCTTGCTACCACCGGTTCGTGAACCAGGCGAGGTTTAGATATACCTGAACCTTTTCCATGTAGCTGGCAAATATTCTGACATTAAACCGCTTACTCAAACCCTGAGGATATTGAACAAGTGTTTCATCCTAGTTCGCGACTCCTCAGCAGCTGGTACACATGACTTCACCTGGGATTGAACTCATGGTCTTCGGGTTATCAGGCGAGCCCTTTGACCGTTCAGCCACAGAGATTGTAAATGTATTTTTTATTGTCAAAACTTGTTTTCTGTTGCCTATTTTTTGTGGTTTCTCGGATATTTCTGCTGAAATTGATGTGAAACAGTCATCTTGGGATTTCATGCAGTATGCTTGTTTGTTTTGGTGCTTGTTTATCATAAATATTATTTGACAAAAGTAAGAAATGTCACACACACACACACAAATCATACTGTTAGTTATCACATGCGATGAATGTGATAGAATAGTGATATAATTTCTTCTATTTTTTGTTGACTAAACACAGAAGAGGAAGAAGAAGAAGAAAAATAATTATTGCATACTTCACTATGATTGTCGTCAGTATTTATCTTCCTTCTTGATTGTTTGCGTACTTTTCTGTCTGCTTGATCGTTTGACTAATTCATATGATCTTCCCAGCCACAAGACAAATTGGATTCATCCACTCACACTTGCCTACTGCCTTGTGATTACTTTTTATACTATTATTGTGGTTGTTGTTGTTATTATTATTATTATCCTTCATTTTCTGCTTGTTATTTCAAACAAATTGTCGCAAGTGTACTATAGTAGATGAAAACAAAATGTACTTAATATTTATCCGTATAAGTAAGTAGTAGGAAACGGTTATAAGTAGTATTGCTGGGAATTTGTGTTGCTCATTTAAAAGATACTAAATAGGTATATTAGTATGATTAAGGAATGCACAATTAAATTGGTGTGCGTAGGTAATTCACCGGTAGAATGTTCGGGTTCAAGGTTCGATTCTCGACTGACATACTTCTAAACCCATGTGTAGGCGGTAAGAAAAGTGGGATTGCTGGGCAGTGGGGCTGGCACACATCACTGCCACTGTGAACTTCAAAGTTGAAACCTATGTTCCACGCAACACACACCACGCAAGAAATGAGAAGAAAATCGAATTGGTTAATTATTCTAATTATGCAAAGATGAAATATTTTTTTCGGGATATAAACGAGATTGTTCAGTACAACTAATCCTTTCGTTTAATATAGAATTCAATGCTGCTTCATTTTTTACTGATGTGTACATAGAACGAAACAGCTTTTTACATTTAGCCTGTTGTAACCATTTGAATCAATTTTGTTCTGTTCAAACTGCCAGTTTGTTGTTGTTTATCAGAGGGAAATACTGACTTGGTAGTTTAAAAAAAAAAAACAAGTGTCAAGAAATGTGCCAGCATTTAACTTCTCTGTCGGCTATCAAATTATGAAGCATAGAAAGACATAAACAGTTATGGGTTATTCATGGTAAGAAATTAAGAAAAAGATTTGAAGTGAAATGCACTGACAGTGAGTCAGTGTCTCAAACTCTATTAAACACCCATAGGTTGATACGGTGTCTTATTTTTGATGATGATTCCTTGTTAAGTGCGTTGGTGGTTCAGTTGTAGAGTGCTCTTCAACCACGTGCATGGTCCGGGATTCGATTGCTGGCCACCACATTCGTAAACTTCGCTTAGACAGTTGTAGGCCCAGTAGAGAGTAAGGCTAGCACAAAGTCACCCCGTAAAATGACAGAACCACCTCTACTGAGACTTCAGAGCTGAAGCTTGAAACTCTGTATACCAGTGGTAAAGCAAAGGAATGATAATAACTTCATTTTTAACCCAGCTTTCTTAATCACCATGGTCTATGGTTAAGTTACCTTAGTGGGGGGGGGGGTGTTTCAGTTGGTCCACATCATGTGTAGCTTACGTTGGAAATCTACACTATTGATTCTGTGGTTCGACTTTTTCACAGACTAACTCTTAATAATGAAATTTATACTTTTTACTGATATAAAGTACACTACTCCGTTTTCTTCTTATTACTATTCTATTTCTCACATTAGGTGGTATGTCTTAATAAATAAAAAGTTGATTGTACTTGTGTGTTTTTTTATAAAATTTACTGAGTTAATTATTATGTATATTCGTGTATTACTTACGTGATTCAAATGGATTGTCTGTGTTTTTTTTATCTATCTGTGTACACGATTGTATATTCTTATGCAATTATACATAATATATATATGCGCATTGCATTATGCCAGTGGTTTCATGCATACTATGGTCACATTTCAGTCGAACTGTTAACCACCAATGTAATTTTTAAAAAAATGTGACTTTTTATAGTGTTGTTTTTATTGCATTCATATTCATTGTGACAATTAATTGGGGTTATCCATTTCACATTTTTAGAGAGATGTTGTGATTCATTGACTTTAGCACTCATGGTTTATAGTTGGTGGATGGCCCCATTTGGTTTGAATCTTGCTCCGTTTGCTTCTTCTTGACCAACTGGGTAATAATCCACTAGCCTTCATACAATAAGTATGACTTTTGAGCCGCGTACATAAGAATTGTGTTCCAGGTAACTGAGCTCATTTCATAATGAGAGTTATGAAATCACGGGGAATAAGTACTGTACTTTCCGGGCTTGGATAAGTATGTTTCGATTAAGTGTTGATCGTTTGCCAAGTTTCGAAACACAAATATACTTCATAGAGTCCAACACCTACCATTTGTTTTGTGTGTGTTCTTTTTTTATAGTTTGGTTTGTAAGGATTAGTTATGTTTTACGAGTTGACCACGGATGCTCGCTAGTGACTTGCTACAGGTTGGAGCTTCCTGCAGTTCTAGTGAGAAGTCGTGACCAGTGAGGTCCAATTAGAAGTCACGTGTGTGGATGGATGTCCCACCAACGACAATAGTTGGGGTCGCGCTAAAATCACGAATTGGTAGAAGTTAGAATTCATGAGCCATTGAATCGGGTCCCAGTGGCTTGCCTTGTAACCGGAAGGTCCTGGGTTCGAATCCCAGTGGGTGCGTACTGCCGATGATTCCCAAACTAGGATGAAACAGCAGCTGTCCAGTACTCCCTGGTTTTCAATGGTTCTCTTTTTTAAAAAAATTTGGAGTTGGCTTTTGACTTTGTCAGTTGATAGGTGGTGCGGTGATTATTTTTGACTATAAAACGACTGGAATGAGAAAGAAAGCTGTCGCTTAAGACCACTACGAACAGTATTGTCCATGACACATGTCCAGTGTCATCAATTTTTAAAATCTCTCCTACCTAACTAGTCTGTTTTGTCTTATATGACGGTGGTGAGACATGGTCATTGAAAGCAAACTATAAGTTTCTGTGCTGTGTGTTCTGTATGAAATAAAAATCACTTATTGTGTAATTTCAAGTTTATACGTAGTTGCTGAGTAATGAAAACAAAATGAACTGGTTCAGTGTGAACCTAAGAATAACTAAATTCGAAAAGTACTAGGATTAAATGAAATCATAGCTTGGAATCAGCTGCATAGCGACGTGAATATTACTCCCTTAATTGGTTATTCTAAATGACAAGAATCAATACTTCAGTATTCTAAAGGAAAGCCTAAACTCGTTCACAGTTTTGAAGGTAGTGTTTATTCTCCACCTTTGTAAAAGTTTAAATTTGTTCACTTCTGTTTTTACGGGAAAAAAGTGTTTCTGTCATTTTTCTACACACCACTGTAAGATCAGTTGGAGTGTACAATTTTCGGGACTGATAATTGCAATACCTTTCTTATCAAAGTGGAAATACCTTAGATGCAGGAGAAATACCATACTGGGGACACAATCTTTCCATTCCTCAGCGTAACTTATCCTCAAACCTCTGTGATAACTAATCTGAGCATTTAGTTCTTTTTCCATTCCTTAACGTTCCCATTGGAACATAGGGCTTCAAGCTAGAGCTTTACAGTTTCGGTAGCAGTGGTGTTTGTTTCTACGGGATGGAGTTGCTAGCCTTATGATTAACCTTTCCTCCTTGCATCTTTTTTTACTGGCTTAGCGAGGTATGGGAGTGCCTCGGCCGGGGGTCGAATCACATACGTAGTTGGCGGGTATTCTACCTCTGTGCTACCGACGCGCACATCTATTTATTTACTCGTAAATGAAACTATGAGGGCTATATCAACATACAATCCTCAGAACCAGAGAGAGTAGTACACGACAATGTGGTTTCCTAGTGATGAACGTATTTCCATTTATAATAAATGGGTTAAAATTCCTTCGTTCATGATGTATATATCTTAATCACTACTCCAGTTTATTGGTGCATGAAGTGCCTGTGTGTGTATGTATGTATGTGTAACAACTTCTCAATGGTGGATTTATTGAAACCTAATTTACTTCTATAAGATCAGTTAAAATATTATCATGTTTAATTTCCCTGATCTGTATTCTCTTTGCTTACAGTTTAGTTGCAACCTACTTATTACATAATGGTTTCCTTGAGTCAGCTCAAGCATTGGGCGAATGGGTGACAAAAGCTTCAACTAATATAACAGATCAAAGCAATACTACAACTGGCAATATTTTTAGTCGTGAGAATGATGTTAATGGTGATAGTACCAATAATATGTGTTATAATAGTAATGGCAAGTCATCTTCAAAGTCATTAACTCCTGATACTCCAAATGGTTGTCTGTCTACATCGACGAATAAATTTATCCAACGAATGAATTCACTGACAAACTCTTTGAATGGTAATGGTTATTCAGATTGTAACAGTAATAATAATAATGCTATGAATACTAACAATAACAATAATAATTGTAGTGGTTCTATGGTTGAAGAGACAAACGGTGGTGATCATTATTTAAAACACTCAGAACAGCAGTCAGCACAGTCAGCAGCAATCAAGTCACTGGCAGCACAGTCAACAGTTAATCATCATGATTTATTATCGTTATCGTCGTCGTCTAAAAATGCCAGTCAAGCGAACAACACTGTTCTTAATGATTTATTCTGTTGGCCTGAAGCTGTGGACATCTTATTAAGACGCAGGTATCTACGCGAGACAATTAGAAATGGAGATTATCTGTCTGCATTGGACCAGCTACAAGCACACTTTAAAACATTATGGGAGAATGATCCATCGATTACATTTGTTCTGAAATGTCATCATTTCATAGATTTGGTGAGTAGTCTTTCAGTTATTCTTCTTCTTATTTTATTGTTTGCCTGTTTATATATTTTTTAAAAGTTTTCATAATAGATGAAGTAAAAGGGAATAGCATTCAGTTTGACACACTTGTCAGAGCATGGTGGTGTGCATGGATTTACTCTGGATAAAACAGGGCTATCAATTGTTCGGTATGACTATGAAGTGCGCTTTCATTTACTACACATATTGTGTGGAAGCTGATGATATACTACCCAGTAACCCACTCGCCGCTTCCCTTTCGGGTTCCACTCGAGCGTTGGTCTGATGCGCGATTTCACCCAGCGGCCTCCTCAGCGAGTTTCCAATCCATCTCCACTTTCTCCTGCATATTTGTTGGACGATTGGTCCTTGTTTTGTTTGTTCCCATAGTTTCTTGTTGGTGATTCTTTCCGGCCATCTGATCTTGAGTATAGAACGAAGAGAGTTGTTGATAAAGGTCTGCAACAGGCTGTTGGAAATATTCTTTGTGACCCGCCAAGTTTCTGAGCCATCCGTATAGAAGAACTGACTGACTTGACGTTTGTATTGAAAATCCGAATTTTGTTGTTGATGTTGAGTTGAGTGACGAAGATTTCCAGATTGGTTTCAGGTTGATGAATGTGTTTCTCGCCTTCCCGATTCTCGATTTGACATCCTCGTCCGTTCCTCCTGTGGTTGAGACAATGCTCCCTAGATAAGTGAATGAAGTAACCTCTTTCAAATCCCTCCCGTTAATAATAGTATAGTTAAACTTATTTATCGCTGACCAGATAATAGGTCACCCCCTTGCCTTGAGTTCTTACCGTCTCATTTATTGTTCCTCACAAAGCATTGAGTTATAATCCTCAAGCTATCCATTGTTCTTAGTATTCAATGTTCCTCCAGTTTATTCTGACTTTAGCATCAATCCATTCTCTACCTACTGAGAAAAGCTTTCTCAAAACATTAATGTGAAGTCATGACTGATGTTGAATTCTGTCAAGGCAACTGTATGACTAAATACACTTAAACTATATCTTGAATTCATATGAACTGTGATCAAGATTTGACCGAATAGTTCCAAAATAATTGGGCGCCGAGTGAAAAGTAGACATTTGTAAAAAATTATAAATATAATTTTTTACTAATATCTTGAATTGTCAATGGTTAAAAAGTTTTTTGTTGGAATTTGTTATTTTAACCGATTAAACCATTCTACTGAGCCCCTTAATATAGACTCGACAGCCGTTTTTATTTTTTCCGATGGGTTCATAAGTCGCAAATTTTGAACATTATGTAGGTTACTGAAACAACGTTTGTAATGAGACAGCTATTCTAGTTGTTGTTTGTGCAGATGCAAAATAACAAGTCTAATATAGACGACAGGCTTTCCCCGAATGTTTCTCTACCATTATCGTTGTTATTATTTCCCTAGGCTCCGTGTGTAACATAAGACTTCAGCGGCACATCTCCATTTCACTCGGTTCTCTGCTGTATCTTTTAGTTGACTCCACGATCTCCTCCATGTCACCATTGGACAGACGCCCAACTCGTTGTTCACTAGGGGGTCTAACGCGTGATGTCACTTAGATGTCTTCTCAGCCTATATCCAATCCATCTTCATTTCCTTCTGCATATTTGTTTGGTGATAGATTCTTGGCTGGTTCGATTTTCTGCCAGGGTTTCTTGTTGCCTACTCTTTTTGAATGTCTTATCTGCAGTATTGAGAAAGGATTATTGATGGAAGTCTACAACAGCCGGTTGGAAATGCTTTCTGTGACGTGGGTGCGAAGTCTCTGTACCCATATGTAAGCAATCACTTGAGATTAGTATCGAGAAATCGGATCTTATTCCGTATGCTGAGTACAGTAGATTTCCACACTGCATTTAGAGTGATGAAGGTTTGTCTTATCTTTCTGTGTTCCTGGCTTTCACATCCTCACCCGTTCTGCCGCCTGTAGTTGAAACGGTACACTTTACTGCAAATACCTCTTTTTTGCCTATAATATTAAAATACTTCTCATGCAAATATATAAAGTTGTCGTTTTCAAACCAGCTATTACCACTGTCGCTTTCTTTCCCCACATATTATTTCCTCATCACCGATTAATTCTTTAAATTTATCAATGATTTAATCAAAAGCAAAATTATAGCAGGATAGTATAAACCCATTAATTTTGTCTTAATAATATTATTCCGTGGATTCTCTTCCCCTGCTAACCATCTAAATCATACCAAAATGTATTAAAAAGGAAACTATACAAAAAGGTTTTTATCACGTTCACGAGTTATTAATAGAATTTATAAGCAGTATGAACCGAGAATAATGTGAGTAGTTAAATTGTTGTGTTAAAAGAATTAACAATTTATAAGATGATTAAATGAATATCTTCAAGGACGTGAAAAGAGGGCGAGATAAAAACAAGGTTTAACTAGTATAAGGAGGTTAGTGCAGTAGCAGGAAGACTAAGGTGAGGGATTTTCTGATTAAGACCAGTTGGCGCAATAAGATTGTATAACTTTGTTTAGTAAATATAATCATCAAGGTAATATGGGTCTGACCACTGGGTCTTCTTCGTGCATAGATCTGTCCTCAATCGTTCGATGACGACTGCTTCACTTACCTGTGAAGCAATAGGAATGCATGAAATGTTTAACTTAATCGTTAGACAAGGCTATCGAGAAAAGGTTTTCTGTCGTTGAGGCAGTAAAGGCTCTCTCTCTCTCTACCAGCGATCATCTGTCTAATCTCTGCTTCATTTTCGCATTCGGGTAGTATTGTTGTTGTGTTTGTATTTGTCGCGTTGTAGTCGGTGGTTAAAGTGAACACTTCTTAGTGGAGTTAGTTCTTATGTCTCAGTCGATGAAATCGTGTGGATAACGTAAAACTTCTAAGCAAATCAATCGGTTGTTCTCATGCTCTTATTTTGTGTCACCAGACTATATATGACAATTTGCAATTGAATCTACCAAGTTTTATTTTCTCAGAAGTCTTTCATCAGTTGATATTGAATGAACACGACATTTCTTCACACTGTAGACAGAGAGGTAGACAAACAACAGGTTGAAGACACTTCTTGATGGTGATTGTATGACGAAAAATCCCTCTGACATAAAGAAGAGGTTGAAGTAATAATTGAAGGAGGACAAACACTGTACCTTACAGAGTCTATAATGATATGTTCATTTTTTAACACACAAGTATTCACTGTCATTCATACATGTTGAAAATAAATAATCTGTTGAAAGTGGATTATTTGTGAGTACTTGAGATTTGTTTACACATATACTTCAAAGCATCATCATTTTCATAGTCTTACTTGAGTGCGTGTTACATATGTTGTGGGTGGGGGCGGCAGGTAGGAGTTAGTGGTGTTAGAAGTGGTAATTATCTTAGCGATATGAGAACCCTCTGTGATGTAATTATCTAAAGAAAAGGTGATATTTTCGAGGAGTTTATCTAACATGGGCTTGAATTAGCAAGTATTCTGTTGCAGTGTCAGTAATCGTCAAAGACTCAAATCAACGAACTGCAGATTAGTAACCAAGAGCTTTACCGAATTGCCTACAATTTCCGGGGAGTGACTGGCTACCTGTGTTACCCAGACCAAATTTTTCACCTGCTAGGCTAATGTATGTGCCACAGTTATTGTGTTAGGGCTGATGATACTGCTTGGCCGCTCAGACTGAAGCAGTTGGAGATAAGATTCTAACCGAGAATCCCACAGACTGAGAGTCGACTGCTAAAGACAATAAACCACATCTCCACTGTAGTGCAATTGTAAGAGTCATACTATAAAATAATGTCATCTCGCCATATTTGTTTTCTAAATATCTTATTTGAATTAATATAAGATTGCATAACACCACAGTGCTTAACATTAAATTAAATCTGACCTTTTTCACGTCATCTCAGCAGTTGTGAACACAGTTCTCTGCCCCAAAAATATTTATTCATTCTGTTGACTCAAGCGTTCTTGTACCGCCTGCTGTTTTAGCTGTATTGGTTTCAGATACGTATTCTCACTGTTTCCACTTATTCTTATGCAATAAGCTAACGATATTTTAAATTATATCAAGAATATGCTTACTCTCCTACTTACGTTTTCATTCTAAACCTCTTCATATTGACCTTTCCACATTCATTTCGACATTTTGTGTCAACAATAATCTTCCTAATTTCATCAGAGAGGTGGTAGGTGTAAGGCGTCTGACTTTCATGCTGAGTAGGTTTTGTGGTTCGAATCTCAGTCGACCTGCTGCAGATTGGAGAACTACTCACACTTCTTGTACACATCGTTAACTAGTGTATTAGAATGTTGTGGGTTGCTGAGTTGTATTGTTATTATTATTACGATATGTACACTGTAGTAATTTGGGACCCTTTGCACTTTTGTTTTAGTTTGTGCTTTACCTGACGGTTTTTCATCTTTCATTCAAGTTAATTTTCATTACTCTATGCTAAGGGACACTATCATTAATTTTTCGAGTTTATGTCGAATTAGTTAGAACGTTTTCATTATTTATGCTGACCATTATAAAAGTTGTTAGTTTTTAATTACAAATCATGGGAAATACCCGTCAGGATATTACAGAGAAAACGAGAAGTTCAAAGAGATAAAGTTTTCCATTGATGATTAGTCACTTTGTCAACGTTACAAATAGAAACTCTGTCTTCGAAAATGAAACCTTACGATCTGAATTCAAATGTCTAACAGACTTTACACACCTACTTGCAATTCGAGAATCTAATCACAGACAAACATGAGGCTTTACCGCTTGTCTCTTATATTTCCAGTCAATAATCTTTGACTGCTATCACCAACATATCAATTGAGAAAGTAAAGTCCACCACCTTCTGACAAAGGAACATAAACAACAGCTAAAAGAAATAAGTAGCAGAAAAGATTTAATAATTTCATTTGTTGGATAATTCGTACATTTTGTTTATGCCTCCTATATATATAATTATTAACTGTTAAAGTCATCTTCTCAATCGATAAACCAGTCGGCTA